GCGGAAAACCGAAAACCGTTCTGATCAGCCCACCTACTCATCTTGTTCACCGTCAGTTGAACTTGGCGCTCACAGATAGCTAAATTACACGAAGAAAAGCAAACTTGGACATCATCAACGTAAAGAGAATGGGAGACCATGGGCGGAATCACCTGAGACAGAGAATTCATTTTTATAATAAACAAAGTGACGCTCAAGACACAGCCCTGCGGTACGCCATTCTCCTGGGGGAAAGGGTCAGAGACCGTAGCCCCCAGGCGTACCTGAAAGCCACGATCCTGCAGAAAGTCGGAAATGCAGTGAAACATTCTCCCTTTTATGCCCATCGAGATGAGGTCCTGAAGTATGCCGTAGCGCCAGGCGGTGTCGTAGGCCTTTTCAAGGTCAAAAAACACCGAAAGACAAAACTGCCTATTTACAAAAGCCTCCCGGACGGTCGTTTCGAGGCGCACCAGATGGTCAACAGTAGACCTGGAAGTGCGGAAACCACATTGGAAATTACTTAGAAGTTTCTTACGTTCTAGCACGTAGACGAGTCTACTGTTGACCAGCCGTTCAAACGTCTTTCCCAGACAGCTAGTGAGGGCAATTGGCCCGTAGCTCGTGGCTTTGCTTCTGTCCTTTCCTTGTTTTAAAATGGGAACGACCACAGCCTGTTTCCAGGAGCTGGGAAATTTCCCCTTTGCCCAGATTATGTTAAAAAACTGAAGGAGAATGACAAGAAATGTATCAGATAGGTGGGAAAGCATAGTGGGGTGAATTGAATCAGGTCCAGGGGATGTGGGTTTTGCAGCAGCAAGGGCTCGACGAAGCTCGACAAGAGAAAAGGGACGGTTATATTCTTCAGTACAATCATTTGACATACGAATTGGAGTTCTCTCACATTTCGACTTAAACCGTAGAAACTCTGCAGTGTAATTTTCGGAACTGGAGACTTGTGCAAAGTGCTTACCCAGTGCATTGGCTTGTTCATATAACAATGAATCAGCTTCTCCATTCTCAGCTAAAAGCAAGGGGATTGAGAAAGAACGGTAGTCGCCCTCCATTCTTCCCACTCTGTCCCAGACAATCTTGGCTGGTGTGTAACTATTGATGGAGGATGCATACGAGCAAAAGGATCTCTTTTTGGCCTGTTTTCTGATATAGCGGGCTTTTGCCCGCAACTGTTTAAATGCCAGGAGGTTTCTGGAGGTCGGATACCTTCTAAACCTTCCCCAAGAACAGTTTTGTCGCTTTCGGGATTCTCTGCACTCATCATCCCACCATGGCTTCGGGCGTCTCGGCAGGTTGCCGGATGTCTGTGGGATGGACAAACGGGCTGCTTCAAGGATTGCTGTTGTTATTAATGCATTTCCATCGTCCACAGAGACCACTTGTGAAATATCCAAGGAGGAAGGAAAGCTTGACTTAAAAAGCTCCCAATCTGCTAAAGAGATCTTCCAACGAGGAGGACAACAAGGAAGCCTAGGTAGAACTTCTAGCGGAGTAAGGTACACTGGGAAGTGGTCGCTCCCATAAGGGTTATCTAATACATTCCAGGTAAAGTCGGTAAAAATCGCAGATGAACAAATAGTGAGGTCAAGACAAGAGAAAGAGCAGTTATGAGAACTGAAATATGTTGGTGCTCCAGTATTTAAAACACACACTTCTTTAAGAGACAAAAACCGTGCCACAACAGAACCCCGGGTGTCAGTCCGATCACCACCCCAGAGCGGGTTATGTGCATTAAAATCACCCATTAAAATAAAAGGTTCAGGCAGTTGGTCAGCTAAGGCTTAAAGCTGGGAAAGTTCCAAGGATGATGAAGGAGGGATGTAAATGGAGCAGATGGTAATGAGGCGACCTCGTAGCAACCTTACTGCGACGGCCTCCAGAGAAGTGTTAAGGGAGACTTCGCAGGCAGGTAAACTACTGTCTACAATAATTGCAACTCCCCCAGAAGCGCCAGAGGTCGTCACGCGATCCCTCCTGGTGTGACTATTAACGGAGGAGGTGTATATCTTCCATGTCGTCTTTTTTGATTGACGACAGACATATCGAGCCTTCGCCCGAGCCTGTTTGAAGGCTAAAACAATTGGAGGGGTCAGGTACCGGCGTAGCACATCCCATGAACAATTTTGTTTTTTTTTCGAGTCTCGATCACTGCACTCCTTAGTCCACCAAGGTTTTGGCTTAGGAGGAAGGCGTGTAGAAAACTGCGGAATAGCTTTATGAGCTGCCTCAATTATAGAGGCAGTAAGGCATTTGCAGGCATCATTTACATCCAAGCCAACTAAAGTGTCAGGGTTAATCTCAGATGCACTTTCAAACATGGCCCAGTCTGCCTGGTCTACTTTCCAGCGTGGTGAACGTGTCATGAGAGAGCATGAAGGAGCAGTGCACTATAAAATAATGGGGAAATGGTCGCTACCATATGGGTTAGGATGCACATGCCATGAGAAGTTAGGGAAAAGTGTGGCAGTCCCAATGGAGAGATCAATGCATGATGAAGGAAGGTGTTGACAGCTAAAAAAAGGTAGGCTCACCAGTGTTAAAAAGACAAAGTGTTCGAGAGAATAACACAGACTCAATTTTTCCTCGGATGTCACGACGTGTACTCCCCCATAGAGGGTTGTGACAATTAAAATCACCCATCAAAAGGAATGGCTCAGGAAGCTGGTCTAAAAACGAATTAAAATCTGAGGATTTCAAAGTAAAGGATGGTGGTAGATACAAAGAGCACACTGTCAGAGCTTTGTGAAGCATGAACCGTACAGCGACTGCTTCCAGTGAGGTAGACCGTGGGACCTGTACGCAGGGCACTTCTCTCGGGAGAACCACCGCAACTCCTCCAGAAGAACTGACAGAGCACGGACGATCCTTTCGGAATACCTGGTACCGTCTGAGGAAGTTGGTATGGCTGGGATTTAAATGAGTCTCCTGTAAGCAAAGCACACGTGGCTTGTGTTCCTCCAGCAAAAACTCCACATTATCCAGGTTATGTAGTAGCCCTCGACAGTTACACTGCATTAGCACTGAAACCATTATTAAGGTATGAAATTATGAGCACACGGATGAACAGTAAAAAAAAAATCATCCCTTCGGAGGTATCACAGGTTTTTTAGTTTTTTGCTTGGTTTTCGGATTCTGCCACTCCATCTCCTCCTGGTCAGACTCAGGGGTAGATGGGGAGGTGGATAGGGCAGGAGCACCGCTCTCCTGAGCTCCGCAAGCAGGCTTGCCTGCTGACTTGGGAGGGTCGGAGCTGCGAGATCCTAACCTGCGGCCACGACCAGAACCTGACGGGAGGGTGCCAGATATACTGGGGAGGGATTCAACCCCGTCCATCTTCTCCACCTCCTTCTGTGTTACAGAGGCTGCATGAGGGCCATGCAGCTCCTTGGTTGCAGGCGGTCTATCCAGGGAGTGAGGCCGAGGGCCTCGCTTTTTCTCCCTGGTAGGAGACCGTGCAGACTGTACAGGCGCAGCAGGCGCTGGCCTGTCTTGAGATGTGGGAGCAGCCCGCGAACCCTCTCCGCGAAGAGAGGGAGCCTGCTGTCCCTGGGTAGGCTTTGGGGTCCTGAGGGCGGCAGCCAGGTCTTTGAGCAAGACCTGGGTTGCCCTCGACTCCATACGCGGCGCAGGACCCCGGCGCACCACGTCGGCATACGAGCCTTGTGCAAGGAATGACCAGCGTTTCTTGGCCTCAAGGTATGTAATGTTCTCTTTAGCCTTTAAACTCAGTATCTCCTTTTCCTGCTTCCACAGGGGACAGGCACGGGAGTACGCTGCATGGGTGCCTTTGCAGTTGGAGCAGCACACAGTGCTTTCACAGACGTCTGCGACATGTTCGTTGCTGCCACACTTGGCGCAGATCTCTCTTCCACGGCAGCTCCTGGACCCATGCTCGAACCTTTGGCACCTGAAACACCTTTGGGGGTTCGGCACATAAGGACGGACACGGCAGTTCAGATAGCCTGCCTTTACTGTTGCTGGGAGACAGTGCCGTTCAAAAGAAAGAATAAGATGTTTTGAGGGAATCTCCTGACCCTCGCGGCGAAGTATAATCCGCTTTACTGCAATGACACCCGAGTTTCGTAGGCCTTCAAGTATCTCATCCTCACTTACATCTAGCAGGTCCTCTTCGGAGATGACACCACGCACAGTGTTCAAAGTCCTGTGCGGTGTTACCGTGACTGAGGTCTCCACGATGCTCTTCATCTTCTGAATGGCCACACTTTGCTCTTGTGTGGTGACCTCAACAAGGAGGTCCCCAGAATGCAACTTTTTTGCTTGGTAGGAGTGTCCGATCAAATGCTCAAGAACCTTGGCAACAATGAACGGAGACAGCTTGGCGGCAGGGCGTTGATTGTCTTCAGAGTGAACTACAAAAAATTTAACAAAGTGTTCTGTTTCTGGTGCTTTGGCGATGACTTGTTCCGGACAGGGCCGTTTGGATGCCTGCCTGGAACCGGGTTTAGAGAGAGAGGGAGCCATAAGAGGCATAAAGTGTTCAGAACCTGTGGTGTGCCGCCCACCACGGAGCCCAACAAGGAAATAGTTAACGGACCATAACAAAAAGGGCTTTGTTGGAACCGTTAGACTATTAGCACTGCCCAGGTACTATAACCAAGTGTGGTTTTGGACGAGGAGTCTGTCGCCACCCAAGGTTAGCCCTTGCCGCCAAAGGAAATGAAAAAAGGAAAGAAGAGAAAATGAGAAAAGTGAAAAGAAGGAGAAGACAAAGGTAAAAGAAGGGAGGGGATAGTAGAAGTGGCGACTGACTGAATCATCCTGGTCGGGCCAAGCCAGGACACCCGTCTACGGGAAGCGGGGGCCGAAGTGGTGTATTGCCTCACCCGGGGGGCCCCGAAGGGTCCAAACCTACCCCGGGTTCGACTCAACCACCAGGATGCCCTTTTCCCCGGACACGGGAAAGCCACGCACAGCCAGACGTGGGCGGGCAAACCCGCATGGCTCGGGGTCCGTGGAGACGCCACTCTCCAAACACCTGTTTTCACAGGTGCCCCCTGCGGGGGGACTGCCGTCCGAGTTCACTGTCATCGTCACGTCCATCTTCTTGAGGTTGAGCTCCTCTCGTTGCTTTCTGTAGAAAGCTCCATCCGTAATATCACCCATAGCAGTTGGGTCACAACGATCTGATAGCTTCTGCAGGGAGGACTTCAGCGACCTGGCTACTTCTTCAGATGCGAGCATTGAAGTGAGCTGCCGCTCCAACGGAAGGCTGACAAAAAAATGGCCTTCTCTCGTCCGCTCTTCTCCGGTGTACTTTTGACCACACTGCGCGCATGTTGCCTCAACTTGCTTTCTCTCCGTGAGGTCTCCTGCAGATTCCCCCAGAAGAAGCATGCTGTGTGGACAGTAAAAGTGGAAGGTTGAAGACTCCAGCGAAATCCCCGCGAATTTCTTAAATAAGAACTTCGTATCGGGAAGGTCATCTCTCTTCTGGATAAAGCCAACGAACTTCATCAGTTTCTCTACTAGCGTCCACGACATTCCAGATGTGACGGCGAAGTCCATCACCAGCGTGACTAAGTCTTGCGCAGAAAATTCAGAGTCGGGAGGAGCTCCGCGACTGCCAGAACCTTCGCAGTCTTGCTCATTTGCAGAACCTTCGCAGACTTGCTCATCTGCCACCTGTGTGCCAGACTCCTCACATTCGTCTCCCTCGTCTAAATCACTGTTGCTCAGTGAAGAATTTCCGGGGCCGGGCGGCCCATTGCCCGCAGGTACGGTCGACACTCCACTGTCGTCAGGTTTCGTTTGTGTGTTGGATCGCTCGGCACAAAGAGACCGGTGCTCTGTCGACCTCGGTAGGTCGGCTCCGTCGAAGAACGGCTCCAAGTAGAGCTTGCGCCGCTTTGGCGTCCCAGACATGTCGGCGGTATAAAACGTCGCCACACGCCACTAGGTAATTTTACGTCAACAGTTCTCAAAGGAAACACAACTAATAAACTCCACGTTATCTCAACATCGTCCCTCGAAACTCGCTGCCAGACCTCAGTGCCTCGGTAGGCCGGAGGCTGCGTCTTTGGATTTGGTTTTTGTCGACAAAATAAAAATAAGAAAATTATGGAAACAAGAAAAAAAAAGGACAAAGATATATTAGTTTAATAATGGCTTATTCAGTTGATTTATTATAGTTCAATTTCGTATTTCATCAACTTTGATGCTTTGGAGGAGCCCAACGTGGCACAGGGAAACGCTCTAAGGCTAGGAGAAGAAGAAAATAGTTTAGCAGCTGGCAACCCTGAGTACCTGAGCTTACAGCCTTTTTTCTCTCGTGGTCAAAGAAAGGGGTCGGCGGCAATTTGAAACCGCCGGGGTAAAATGTTTTTTTGCCGATTAGTGTAAAGGTGGCAGTGCGACGGATATCTTCCAGAAGGTGTATAGGCATACCAAGACCGCTACCAGCGGACCACTTGGTTTCGGCGCGGAGCCGTTACCGTGGGGGCGATCAAGAAGCCCTTCCTCCGGAGCGCTCAACGACCCGTTAGGCCTACCAACCGGGCGTACGGCGCAAGTGTTTTTTCGACACGGCGTGTCGGGGCACGGCTAAACAACGGAATCTGGCGGTGGTGGCTGGGGCGTCTCGGAAACCAGGCAAGGGAGACACCTAACATCATGACTCCACGGAGGAAAACAATGACAACCAGTCAAAGTCAAATGGAAAAGGCAAAGAAGAGGGGAAAGCGAGACAAGGCGTCAGTGGAGTGCGAAGGCTGTGAAAAATGGGTGGATATCAGCGAGACACCGTTCGAATCATGCACGGAGGCGGAGAACAGTACATACAAACGTAAGGAGTGCAAGGAAAATGAGGTGAGAAGAATCACCTTGGAGGAGGAGATCGAACGGCAAGTTAATGCCTTGAGAGAGGCAATGAGAGTGAAGCTGGAGGAGGCAAAGACAGAGAGAGCGGCCATAGAAAGTAGGATGTTGGCGAAGCTCGAAGAAGAGAGAACCTTGAGAATAGCGACGGAAGAGAAACTGAAAGCAATAATGCTGGAGGAAAGGAACAAGAGAGAAAAATTAGGGGAGGTGTTTAATGAATGGATGAAGTCATATGAACCAGAGCAAATGACGGTCAACGGGGCTGAAAACGCGCCGCAACAGCTAGAACCGAGAAACGGGGTCAAAGAAAAGATGACATACCACACAGACAGGAAAGAGACAGTTAGCTTTTCCCAAGAACGGACGGGAAGTGGAGATCTGGATAAGGAGCAGGGGAGACAGACGACTGGAGGCCAAACACAAAGAAGCCAGCACAGGAACTACAAGGAAGCCCTCATGAGGCAGAGAGCAGACCCAGATGACGGGACAAAGAAACAGGACAAAGAGAAGAAGGTGGACAAGAGAGTCTTAGTGGTAGGGGACACCAATGCCTTCAAGATAAAGAGAGCCACACTGAAGGTGGTAGATTACGACAAGAAAGTTCACTTTGCAACTAAGCCGGGAGCACAACTGAGAGAGTCACTCGAGAGAGCAGAGAGGGATGGGAAAATATGGAATGCAGAGGCAGGAGTGGTGGTCATACATGCGGGAGTGACAGACGTGCAAGGCGAAGAATCGGTGGAAGAAATGGCAGCGGAGCTAGGGAAACGGCTTGAGGACTGGACCACGAGAGCCCCGAAACATTCTTTTATGGTGTATGAAGTCCCAGAAATCAAAGACAAGGGGGACCCACTTAAAGAGAGGTGCGCCAAGTGGAACAGGCTATCAAGAGAGATCAGCCAGCAGCTGGGACCGAGGGTGGAGGTGGTAAAGAACACAGGAACGGGAAACGACATGGAAGATGGCTGCTACAACAGAGATGCGGCAATTGAAGAGGGACAAGCACTGGGTAACAGACTAAAGAGTTTTTTAGGACTGAAATGCAAGGGGAAAAGCGTGACACCGATGAAAAGACGACAGGAAAGAATGGAAGGCAGGCTGACTCTGGACCAGAGACTACAGCGACTCGAGGAACAACTCCAGAGGATGTGTCCCCCACAGGGACATGCCCACTAAGAAGAGAAAGTAGGTGGGATGGTGCCTGCAAAAACACGAGAAGCGGAAAACACAAAAAGGCACCAGACCGGGAAAGAAGGAAAAACAGACGAGCAAAAAAGAAAAAGAGGGAAGTGAAGATTGCCTTTTTAAACCTACAGGGAGGAAGGAAAGCAGGAAAATGGGAAGAGGCCTTTCAGATGTTACAAGATGATAAGATTGGAATGTTCGCAGTCACAGAAACCCACCTCAGAGATGAAGAAAGACCCCCGGATTGCGAAGGGCTTTTTTGGGATGGGGTAAACAGAAAGGACAGTGAGAGAAGGGGAGGGCGGGTAGGATGCTTTAGCGGGCCAGGCTGGCAGAGAGAAAGTCCAGAGTGCAGAGAGCACATGTGGTTGACGGGGACACTGGCGGGGAGAAAGGTGGCAGTGGCAGTGGTGTACCTGTGGACGGGGGCAGACAGCAGGGAGACAAACATCAAGCTAATCAAGTGCATTGAAAAAGACTATCACAACATTGGGAGACCTACCATTATGGTAGGCGATTTCAACGCACACCTAGAGGAGTTTGATGGGAGAACAGACGGTAATGGAAAGCTGCTGCAGGACATGGCGGAACACCTGGATATGGTAATCGTCAACACACAAGATAAATGCATAGGAAAGACGACATGGACGGCCAGAGGGATGAGCTCTACAATCGATTATTGCCTGGTGTCCCCGGACCTGTATGAAAAACTGAACTACATGGAGATAGACGAGGAAGGAGACAAGAGCTTGGGAAGTGATCACAACAGATTGCTGATCACTTTCGGAGGAAAGCCGACGGAAAAGAGAGTCAGCGAAGCTATGAGACCACACCACATAACGCAAGCGCAAGCACAAACCATTGCGCAGAAACTGGAGGAAGAGGTGGAAACCAGGCAGGTGGAGACGTACGGGAACCTCATGCGGTGGTGGAAGGACCACCTGGAAAAACTGAAACGACCGACACGAGGGAAGCGGAGGAGAAAACGATGGTGGGATGTGGAGGTGAAGGAGGCCATTACAAGAAGGCAATTGGCAAACAGGACTCTGCGAGGGACCATCAGAAAACGAAAGGAGGAGAAGAAAGCCCCCCTACAGAAAGATTCAAGAGAATGGAGGGAGTACCAGAGCAGGAAAATAGAGGTGACAGCTTTGATTCAAAGCAAAATGGCCAAGGTAGATAAGAGATTTTTGGAAGAACTGAGAGAGGCAGGACGTGAGGCCCCACTGAAGTTCTGGCGACATGTACAGGGCCAAACAGGTCGACCCAGGGAGGATGCTGTAATCAAAGACGATGCAACGGGAAAGGAACTGGACCCTGGAGAGACCAACCGGTACATTGAGAGGTGGATAGGGGACATGTTCACAGGGGACAGCCGACAAATGGACAGTGAGGAGGGGGAGACGGAGGACGAACTGCAGGAGCAACCGAGCAGAGAGGAAATCACGGAGAGGGAGTTAAATAGAGCAGTCAAGAGGATAGGAGGAACCACAGCCACTGGAATGGACGAAATCCCAATGAGGCTGGTGAAGGAGCTGGGGCCAGAGACGAGAGCACTGCTGCGCGAGATCCTCAACCAGATCCTGAAGGAGGGATGGGTGCCGGAGGAGTGGCGAACCTCAAGACTCAGACTCATCTACAAGGGAAAAGGGCAAAAGTCAACGCTCGGAAACTACCGCCCCATAGCCATCACATCGGTACTCTACCGCGTGTTCACACAAATAATACGAGACCGACTGCAGACATGGGCAGAGGCAGAAGGAGTCCTGGGGGAGCTGCAGAATGGTTTCCGGTGGGGGAGACGCCTTGAGGACAATTTATTCGTGCTGAAGCAGGCCATCGAGATTGCCCAGAAGGAGAACCGCCCCCTTTACCTCTGTTTTCTCGATATCAGTAAGGCTTACGACACGGTCGAACATCGAAAACTGTGGACGCAGCTGGAAGAGCGGGGACTCTGCAGAGAGTGGATAGACCTCTTGCGAGAAGTGTACAGAGGGACGACGGTGGTGGCACAGTGGCAGCAGAAGACAACACATCCAGTGACCTGCTCCAAGGGCTTGAGACAGGGCTGCCCGCTGTCGCCGCTATTGTTTATGCTGTACATAGCAGGAATCGAAAAGCGGCTGCAGGAGAGTGGGGAGGGTTTCTCACTGGAATATTCGGAAGGCGGGGAAAGGAAGGGAGGAAAACTCCCGGGACTCATCTACGCCGACGATATGGTGCTGATGGCGGACTCGCTGCAGGGCCTGCAGGGGCTCATGAACGAGTGTGGTGCAATGGGAGAGGCCCTGGGGCTTAGTTTCAGTTCGCACAAATCTGGGCTGATGGCTTTTGGGGCAGCAGAGGAAAACGGGACCGCCAACCTGTCCATTCAAGCCAATCCTGTACCTTGGGTGGACCACTACAAATATCTGGGTGTAAACCTACAGAAGGGACACCACTACCTCCTAGAGCACGAGACGAAGGTCAAGGCGAAGAGCAGGAAGAACAAGGGCATAGCAACGGCCAGGGCCCTCTGGGGATATAACCGATACGAGGTAACCCGAGCGGTCTGGAAGATGGTGGCGGTGCCGGGGCTTACTTTTGGCAACTCAGTGTTGTGCCTGTCATCAGGTACCAGGCAATACCTCGAGGTCCGTCAGAGGGAGGTGGGAAGGTCGGCACTGGGAGCAAGCCGAACAGCACCGAACGAAGCCGTCCAAGGAGACATGGGCTGGTCCGGTTTTGAGGCCAGGGAGGCCCGAGCCAAGCTGGACTTCGAGCGACGCCTCAGCCGGATGAGCGAAGAGCGCTGGGCCAGACAGGTCTTCAAGTATGTACATCTTCGGTCCGTCCCAACCCGGTGGGTGCGACGGACGCGCCAGTTGGCACAGCGATACGAGGTCAACGGCCCACTCCTCTACCCAGCCGCGGAGCAGCCGGAACTGCAGCAGAGCATCCGCACGAGGGTGATCGAGAGCGAGACGCGGCGATGGGCGGAAGCGGCACGTCTGAAACCAGCGCTGGCCCTGTATGCCAGAGAGAAACAGGAGGTGAAGCGAATACCTTTCATGGACAACAGCAGGGGCAGTGCACTGCTTTCGGACGCCCGAGGCGGCATGCTGCGGACCCGCGTTTTCCGCGCGAAGTACATGGACATGGAAGTGAAGTGCGTCATGTGCGCGCAGGGAGCAGACGAGACGGCGGAACACGTCATACTGGAATGCACGGGTATAAAGCCGGACGTGACGTACGAACCAGACATGGCGGTGGCGCTGGGTTTCCGGGGCGTTGACGAACAGTACGACGCCGATAGCTCGCAGCCAGTGGAGGTGACAAAGAGGAGACTGGAGTGTTGGTGGAGGAGAGCAAAAGAACACAACTACGTTTTTGGCTAGTGTAGCTACTAGCCAGGCTAGATCCAGCGCTGCTGAGATCCCCCGATACAAAGGGGTTAGCCCCAAATCCAATCCAATCCAATCCAAAAAGCCTGAGCCTTTGTGGACGGTGGAGCGGAGCTCGCTTCTCAATTCGACCGAACTCTCTGCACGTTTTGTGTTTTCCTGTTGCGTTATCTTTCGGCTTCCTAAATATTGTGTTCAGTGGTTCTTGCAGTTGTTTCTTCATATAGTCATTTTACGTTTGTTTTTGGATTCGGATCAAGAACCGTCATGTACGCGCTGGTTCGGTTTGTGGATGACCTGGACAGGCGCCGCCATGTGATGCACGTCGATAATATACGAAACTTCAACCCAGTTCATAAAACTGACTTCAACAACAAGGCTTACAACACGGTGCTGTGGACAGACAACGTGGACAGTGGGAACACTGGGGATTACACTGCGCAAATTCTTATGCTCGGCGGTAAGCACTCGTTATAGGCCGCGATTAGGCCTCTTTGGTGCTTGTATTTCCGCTAAATTTTCGCCCTGTCAATTTTGTAGATACCGAAGAACTGCGCGAATGCCCTAAGAGGGTCCCAGTGCCAAGATTAACGGCCGCAGAGGTGAGCTCGGAGGACGAGACGGAGACGTCTACCCAAAAACGAAAGAAGGTAATATCCCCAACCTCATTTCACTTTCCGGTTTGAGCAAAGCTATATGCACGAGCTTGTGCACCTCCCACCGGATATTGCTATACACACGACGCGAAACGGATGGTTCAGGCACGTAGCCAAGGGGGGGGGAGGCCGAAATCTTCCATACTGCTGGGGCCTCCTCGCTCCCCTACCCCTCTTACAGCATTTTGTCATGCCTTACCCAACCAAAATCCTGGCTACGTGCCTGGAATGGTTAGAACGAGTTTTCGAAGTGGTAGCGTAGCTCTATGGTAAGGTGTCTGCTTTGTATGGAGCGGGCCCCGGTTCGATCCACAGTGTGGGCTTTTTTCTTTTTTTTTCCCCGAACATAGCATTGTTTTGTCAAGCATGTGCCAATATTTACGACATTTCTGTTTACAATTAACACTGGAAAAAGACAAAAAAAAAATGAATGTTGTCGGCAAAACTTTGTTGAACTAAATGGTTGGAACTCTCTTTCCGGAGGTGCAATGGGGGTTGCGGGGCTTGGAGTACAGGGTGGGGGGGGGGGCGGGGGAGGGGGGGGGGGGGCAAGTGGGTTAATAGTTTTGTAATTTGCAGCCGCACACTGTCGCCGTAAAGCGGCGTGTACGCAGGCGGGGGTTGGGTTAACACGCTCTCCAGTGATACACGCGCCATCCGAAGAGACTGACCCAAATGCCATGACCTCTCTGCGTCGTGCGTAAAGCCATTTCTGGTCAAGGTGCACGATCTTGTGCATATAGCTGTACTCTTCCGATTTATGCAGTGGGGAACATTTCCTTGCGCTCAAGCTTCCAGGGGGTTGGTAGTAAAATATAGGGTGGAGTGTGTGGTCCGTGTCGGGGAGGGTCTTTCGGCGAGTCGGCTCCATGCCCGGCTCTACGCATCTTTCTAAATGCGTGAGCATTTCTGAGCGAAATCTATGTATGCATCTGCTTTGCATACATTTGTGCTATATTACTGTTTCACTGACTGATTTTGCCCTAATCTATTACAGGGTTATTAACGCTTTTTTGAACCTAAAATGGAACTTTTTAGTGTCTAAACATCTGGCCGCTAGTTATATGTGACAAATAAATGCTAGCCACATTTATTTGTTACTCCATTTAGTGAGAGACATTCAGGCAAAATGCAGCATGAGCACCACCTGATGTTTCTGCCTCTACCCCCTTTCCCAAACAAATGTCACTGGCCCATGTTTGAGACTGGCGTAAGCCAAAGCAGCTAACTGATAGTTCCAATTTACGTTTTTCAGAAGTGACCAGTTCACAAGTTTTCTTTTCAATATGCAAAACTCTCAAGCTTGTGATTTCTGGGAAACATTTATACTATACATGTTTACATAACTTGGCGAACTGTGGAGGCTGCGGCGCCTGCGACCAACTGAGGGCGACTGAGAAGGAGGCCTCGTTACCGCCACAGCAACAGCTCAGTCCGTGACAAGAAAGTAGTTCTAGACTTTTTCTTTTAATGCCAGTTGAACTCTTGCGATTGCATCTCTATTGACACGACAGGAAAGAAAGACAAAGAAGTTTTACTTTTTATTGATACTTAATTCGGATCTACCCTTTTCCAAGGACAGTGGGGTTTTTGAACAATGTTTGAATAATTGCAGCCCTGTAATTGACCACTTCCACTCAAAACTTTGCCCTTGAATTAACGCGCGCCACAGATTCGCTAGTAAATTGAGCGTATGGTTGTATCATGAACTGTTCCCGAAGCGCTCGCTAATCTAGCGGACAGCAATTTTGCCGCGGTGGATGTTCATCCAAAGTTGGTTGGTTTTGGAGCGGATGACTCTTGGCCAGCAGACGACAGCTGGTTCCTCTGGGCCTCGCATTTGGCTCAGTAACACACACGCTCCAGTGACTTGGTGTCACGTGCCTTGCTCCGACGCTCTTATTGGGTCGCGGGAGCCGTAGCCTTTACATTGATGGAACTACGCAGCGCAGCATTCCATCAATGTCAAACCAACTAGCCCAACTTCAAGCATTATTAGCCTCCACAGTTTGTAGTATATGTGCTATAATTGATGTCACTGTGGCCAACACTAAGTGAATACTTCTTTGCTTCAATTTCACTCATAGGTAGCAAAAAAGAAAGAAAAATCAGGCGGCTGTCAAGAGAGACAGCTACGAGGCGATCCTACACAACCAGCCGAGCCAGGCCCACGAAAAAAATGCGAACACCGTTCGAGTTACCGTGGGTATGCTGCAATTGTGTATTTGGGATAGGATGTGAACTGGTGTATATTAAACATTTTGGTGAAAACCCAAGACTGAGGTAAACAGCAGATGACGACTGGAGAATGTCTCGTTTTGAGACATTCTCCTTCTCTTTCCTTGTCGTTGTTTGTCATTTACGTCAGTCTCGACTTTTCACCAAAGAGCAAAACATTTGGGATGACTGAAATTCTTGTTATCCTCTCCAATCCTAGAGGTCTGGCATTAACATACACTTTTATGCTCCAAAATAATGTTTAGCGCAAAAGGCAGCCTGCTTCCACCAGCACGTCAAGTTCGGATGACTCGCTAGTTTCCAGCAATGAGCTTCAGGATGCACGCAAAAAGGCAAAGTTTTGGAAGTCCCGAAGCAAGGAACTGCAGTAGGATAACAAGTTCCTACAAGAGCAAGTCCGTTCACAGCAGGTACTCCTGGGATCCAAGATCTTTAGGTGTGAGTGGTAAACCTTTACAAATTCTTTTTTTTAATGACTATTTTGTTTTGGAAGCTGGTGTATTACTGGGAAAGTTTCTATTTACAGTCTGTAGTGTCTGCACCAGGCATATAGCCAGGATTTTGTTTTCGGGGACACTCCCGGGTAACGTGGTTGCTCTGCACCTATTCTATGCAATAGAAACATGATCAATTCTTATGATGCTCATTAAATGAATGAAACTTATTTAAACAGTGGAAGAGCTCCAGAGTAGAAGCCAAGATCCAGCCGGGGACCATGGTAGTCTGGGTATGTACAGATATTTTGTTTATAGTTTAGGGGTATTTGATTAGTCAGATATGTTGCATTCTTTACAAATGCTTACAAGACCGGGGAAGAGAAAGCCTATCATCCTGGAAAACCTAACGACCAATAACACTGCTTGATGTTCTAGAGATGTGACACTGGCTTTGATGGCTTTAGAGAGCTACCTGACCTATCTCAGTCTCAAAATGTTCCGAGCCTGTAAGCTAACCTATCTGCTTTCACGTATCAGCTGCTGCTTCTACTACACTAGTGCAAAGCGGTGAAGCGCTGCTGTAATGCGCAGTGATCAAGCTTGCAAAGCAGTCGGGCTCTTGCTAAAGAGTCTGCCGCCTCATTCAAAGTCATGCCCACCTACATTGTGTTTAAATTAACTAATCTTGTACTTCGATGGGGGTCGTTCGTAAGGTTTCCAAGAAATTTAATGCTGATCTACTATGTGATGGGGATTCCAGGGTTGGGAAACAATCACTTCAACTGGCTCACATTGTTGATGCTGTTTCTTTTAATACAGCACCAGAGACTGAGGGGCTCGCTGAACCCTGTCAAGCCGTGAAACAGTGCCAAGCTTCTACATCCAGGGCAGCACCCACAGCAGGAGTCAAAAGTCAAATTTGGGGGTTTTACGTGCCAAACCAACGACGGGCATCTGGCACGCCCCAGCGGAGGACTGAGGATTAATTTGGACCACCTGGGGATCTTTTGACGTGCAACCGAAAGCTCGGTTACACGGCGTCTTCTCCGCAATAAGCCTCCGTCAGATTGCGGGCACCTCGGCCGGGACTCGAACCCGCCACATGGGGATCCGTAGGCCGACGCTCTCGCCTCGGAGCCACCGAGGCGGCTCACCCACAGCAGGACGTAAGGTAGTTGAATGTATGGGTCTTTGTGGGAGTCAAATTTGTTATTTTTTGTATTTATAGCACGCCCAGGGCTGCTTGGACCTCATCCCCAGGAAATGAAATGTGAGTTGACAATCATGCAGCCTTTTACATCTGAAACAAACTAACCTAAATGCACCGCGTATATTTACAGCCAACCAAAAAGTCGTTCCGCACATTCCCTGGTCAAGCAATGCTCTGGCAGGTGAGTTGGCTGTGTGCATATCTAGCTTTTCTATATGGAACCCTATCCTGCATTTACTCTCTGCATCGCTCTCAGGGCTGGCTGCACAGGTGCCTCACATCAGGGTTCCTGCGGCAGGTGAGTTACTTCTGGATACTTTAGGAACATTGCCTTGCTATGAAATTTTAATAACCTGGCATGAGCTCATGTGTTCCTGCTTGCATATGCATGGGTTCAGGAACAGCTGCTAATCATGTTAGCTGAACAACACAAATGTTTGACTGATTTCTAATTTCAGCATCACCTGGTGGATGCCTGGAGGAATTTTCTTATATGCCTGATGGTTCAGTAAGTACCTTTCTAGTTTTGTAAGGTGCATCTAGAAAGGTTTGCGACAGAGAAGGAAACAGGTAAAATATCTGGCATATCCGTCAATTATTAGATGTAAAGTTGAAGGATAACCTAGTCTCACATTTCGTTCAGGTAGCAAAACGTGATTGGTTATAGATTACTTATTTCTTTGGTCAGTGAATATTTCATGTTCTTTATAATGCAATCAATTTCCTGTGTTAATATGTGAGTCTTTTTGTTTTCTCATTAGCCAGAATGAGTGGGTCTAGGATCATACCTATTTTTTCTGCAAGTTATACCACAACTGAAACTCAGTGTACAAAAGATAGTGTCGGTAAGGCTTATTACAGTCCTTTAATCAAAAAACATGAGAAAGGGCACTAGGCTACTCAGAAAGGGCATACAATCAATTTAAATTGTCACAAGGACTTAATGTTTGCAATTTGGTAAAGATTGGTTATGTAGATAAGTCTTGATCGATTGTGAAATTTTGTGCCTGCAAAATATTCGCGAGGCTTGTACCTCATAAAATATCGAGCTCACGAAAATAGAGTTTTGAGCTTAATATCTTGCGAGCCCACGACTCTCTTTTTTGTGGGCTCGTAAAATCTTCATGCTTGGGATTTGCAAAATTCCCGAGCAGAGGGAGCATGCTGGGTTTGTAGTTTCATGAATGTGCTGCATATGTTGCTGTCTGCAGTAGTCCTGGTGACAACATATCTTTGGATGCAGTGGCGGGGGCTGAGGTGGCTGGGATGTCCATGCATTGGGAAGAGGGGTGGGGGGGGGGGGGGTAAAAATGCATGTGTATATTATAGGGTCGGTTGGGGGCGGGGAGGGGGGGGGAGGGTCAGTCAGTCAGAGTCTTGGGAGAAGGAAATCAAAGGAAGTGTTGCTGAGCCGGAAGCTCAATATGTCACCTTTGTTTTGGGGTAGGGGAGGGGGAGTGAAAGGTAAAGATAGGAGAAGGGTGGTTGCCCCAGTGTCGCGCCGCAAAATCGCGCCGCCGCGCAACGCAAGCCGCACGAAGAAGCCCCCACGGCCGAGCAGAGCGGCCGGTGAAGTGCACTTCTTCCTCGTAGAAGTTGAGTCAGAGTCCTCCCTAATTCTTGAGTCAGTCTTCTTAAGTCTTCCTTTTAGTGGGCCGCCACAGAATACACCAATGGGGGGAGGGGGGGGGGGTTGAAGGCCCATAAGCACCCCCCCCCCTTCTGGCTACGCCTGTTTGGATGTAGCATACCAATTGGTAAAGTTTCGTTTGTTTTCCCATCTGTACTATATTGACTAAACTTCGTATCCGCATACTGCAAGCCCCTTTTACACGACTGAAGTCTTTGTCACTATCAAGCTCTGTTATAATAAGCTTAGGCCGTATGTGTTGCTGTATGCAGCAGTAACTTTTACACCAAATAACAATTTGCATGATCTTTTGCTGTTGCCTTATTGCAGTTGGTTACTTTGAATCTTTTCTGCAGACAAGGAGAGCATATGTCACTGCACTTTCAGCATGTTCCTTGGTTATTGGGAATTTTGCAAGTGGTCGAGAGGCGTAGCTTTTGCTGTAAAATTACTACTTTTCCATTTTGTGTTGCTCAGATATGCAAATAACGAGATACCTGTGACATAGATCATGCTGTTGTGCAATCTGTTTGCAGCTTCACCTCCAAAAAGGCATCACGCTGACAGCAGTCCAGGCGGCGCGAGTGATGAAATTAAAAAAACCGACACTGGTGGTGAAGGAAACAGCCCAGTGCATCTGGACACAAGCCGGGCTGGCGGCACGCAGTGTGTCCGGGGTGCTCGCACCAAAGAAGAACTCTGGTGAAGAGCCGAAGCCTGCAAATGGTCCCAGTCTAACTGGGACCCAGTTGCAACTGGTCCCAGTTGTAACTGGGACCAGTTGCAACTGGGAATTGTCCCTTAAACCAGTTGAACTGGGACCAGTTGGATCCCAGTTAGAAATTTTCACCTGGGATTGCAACGCAATTACTGACGCGACACTCGGCAAAGAAAGGTTGGACCGGCATTGCACGTCTGTCAGAATAAAAATGGCACACCAAAAATGGCATACCAAGTGTACATACCGCGTGTTACGAAGGTAATCCATACGGCGTTTATTTCAGCTCTATATCACGCAAAACAAGAAGATAGAATCGACGAGAGTCCCTTTTCGACGAGTGTTCGTCAACACTGCCTCGGAAAACAAGGGGAAGAGATTGACCTCACCCCTTAACCTAAAATTGAGGTCAGCGATCAAACTATAACACGGGAAGGGTCCACAAGGGTAGCGCGGGCATATTCCATTCAGCACGCCACCCGGTCGTAGGCAGACGGTCTTGAAACGAAGCAATGCTGCGCCGAGTCGGAGTGCCTGCTAGGCCTATATTCTGAGCAGTTCGCTTCGTCGGAGTTGGTGGATTCGTCGCCGTTGTCGCTTTTCTCGGGTGTTTGTGGATCCAGCGTTCTTGTTCGTCGTGGTCTGTTTTAAGTACTTTTTTTCTTGCTGCTTGAAGTCGGCACGCGCGAGAAGAACACATAGAAAAATAAACGTTCAGTCAGAGTTTTAAGGAAGGAAATCAAAAGAAATAACCGTTCGTCGGTCGTCGCGACCCAAGTAACTGAAGTCGGCCCTGCCCTACTGCGCACGCGCAGTAGTTGCTTCGTTTACCACAGGATAGATGGCGCTTGGCTCTCAGCATTATCAAATTTGGCAATTTTCGCCACACATCTCTAATTATGCTACAAAATGTGGATCTGAATATTATTTAACAAAACTTTTAGGAAACATTCGCCGGCTATTTATTGTTTACGATCACGGTGCTGGTGAGGTAGGCTTTTACCCGATAGGCGACGTGGATTCGGCTGACGTGCTCCGTTTCCGCGGATGCATCGTAGTAAAAAGGCGAAGGAAAGAAGGCACAAAGGAGCCCAGTTTTCTTTTAAAAGTTCTATAGCAAATAATTTTTTTTGGCTCCATATTTTTGTGTTTCTTTTCACACCTTTTACGACGTGCGGTGGATGAAATTATATTTTAAAATCATTTCATGGTCCCTTTCAGC